CGGCAGGAAAGTAGCATCAGCAGAACTCAAGAAGCTGGTCCGTCCTGAACACAAAAATATCAGTGGAGTCCATGATGGAAGCTAGAGGCTCTCCTCACCCCCATTATTTTCAAAGTACTCCTTAAGTCTTCTAGATTCTTGTGATAAATTGGATAGGTCCCCACTCCCAGTTATGACTGATCAACTGACTTTCCTGTCATCTTTGTGGGATAGTGGCTCTGATTTGCTTCGATATGAAGAAATGTGTCACTTTAGGCAAATCCAAGTTTGCGTGGATTAAGAGTCAACCTGCCAGATACAAATTATTGCTGTTTGTATTTTCTCTAAATACCTGACTTTTTCATATTCATGACCTCATTTATTTTCTTTCCCTATCCTGTGAAAAAGGCTGGTGATCTTGTTAAGATTTCAAAATCCTAGGAGTTGATCTTCAGAATCTAATCCAATAAGTAGCCTTAAATATATGTTCCTGTGAATTCTGGTGTTCTGTTAGCTGTGTTCTACCACTAAACCTAGTAGAGGAGGAAAAACTACCAACTCTCTCAATTTGTAGAAGGGAAAAACTAAATTAATGGACATATTTTAATTTTCAGCTTTTCTTTCATATTTGCTATTCACTGATCTTTGGTACCTCCTATAAAGTACACAAGTAATAAACTTTTCAAGAAAACCTTGCAATAACTTTATTGGGTTTTGGTCCTTTTTTTTAGGCCATAGCCTCAAGGCTATGGTTTCAGTACACACATATATATTCCTGTATTTTGGGTAAATTATTTCTATTTAAGATGCAGAAATTAAATTACATCACAATACCTAAGTAGCAAGTACATCACAGAACATCATACTTCTGGGCAAGTCTGAAAATAAACTCTTCCCAGATAAGGACACTCGTCTCCAATAATACCAGCAACATACAGTTAACAACCTAACTATGGCAATTTCTATATCTCAGTCTTCAGGCTCCAAATCCAGTGATCCTTTTACATTTCAGGAATTTAGGCTCAGCTGTGCCTAAAACACCTACTAAAACCCAGAAGGATGGGGAGGGAGCATCATCCAAGTCCCAAGCCCTCAGGTTCCCACTATTATGCCAACCTGCCTGTTCGTCTCATAATCAGCAGGCTCTGGCCACCAGCCCTGGAAAAGAACGGTGCGGGGTTTCCAATGGCACACTAAGGTTAGCAGCCACACATACAACCATCCCAAGGCAAGGACAGAGTCATCCTGTTTGAAATTTTTTATTGAAATGGCAGTAAAATAAAAAAAGAACAGTGACCCTTTTAATCAAACTTTTACTTTACAAATATAAAAATATAACCAAAACGTCAAACAATTTCTTTTATATAGTTTCTATAAACTTAATATCAGAAAAGTTCTCGAAGCCAAACTATAAATGATGCTTGTACGTTATGTGAACACAGCACCAAAATTCAGTCTTAAAATGCACCCCTTTCCCTCAACCGAACAGCACAGTGAATACATTTCCCCAACTTATCTCTAGCTTTACAATACAATCTGTCACTAAAACACAAAATACACCTAAACTGGCTTAATCTAGACTTAGGTTTTTGTTTTTCACAAAAACTAGTTTGATAAATATAATACAAACTAATATTAAAATGTGTTTTATGGCTCAAGTAAAATTACAGTATTATGTTTCTCATCACATAGTTTAAACAAAGGTAAACTGTGTGTACCCACACAGTAAGTTACAAAACAAGCGGAGTAATTATGAGACGAACAAGTCTTATGCTATAGAAGTTGACTTGTATTACAGTCAAAATCCAATGTGCCTTCTTTGGCAATGCAACAGAAAACTGCAAGCTCTCTGAAGCAGTCGTAGTGATCAGCACACATTGTTCCAAACATTCTGAACTAGTAAAAACATTAAATTTGAGAAACACCAACATGGAAAAGCGACTTCAAGCATTTCATCTCAAGTGACTGAGCAGCACTTAAAAAACAAAGTCATTAAAGAGCTGTGAGCATCAGAGCCACATCAAGGAGATTTCAAGCTGCCGGCCTGCCGGCCTGCTGAATTTGGAAAGTCTCTACATCACACGTCTAATTCAAAAGGGAAGAAAATAAGACTAGCTAATTCGGTTACATTTGTCCAAATACAATGCTAACTTAATGGAACCCTTAAATACTCAAAATAATAACTGAATTGTATAATACCAGTTACAAGGGAAGACAATGATAATAGTACAAATTCACAGAGGATTCTCAGAATGCCATTTGAAGAATTACCCTACATTTTTTGGGGAAAAAAAATCACAATGGTCCTCATCACTTACATAAAACAAATTTCCTTTTTCTTCAGAGAAATAAGTCAATTCTAAGTATGATACATAACAATTGAGCACACGTTTTAGTTTTTTCCTCAATCCACTGAACATTTTAGAGCCATTTAATAATTATATAGAGAGAATATACAGCACTCCTTGGGTCATTCAAGGAAAATTAACACAGCATATACTGTAGTTACAGAATGCGAAAGAGCGCTGGCTCCCATCCACAGACAGCCTTGAACATAGGAGGCACTCAATGGGGACGAAAATGTGCCCTGTATCTCCTTCTAATGCTGTACGAATAGATTTGAATTCCCCTAATTTTCCATCAAATCAAAAAAGAAAAACCAACCCAAACCCATTGCCCACTGAGTAGATTCTGACTCATAGCAACCCTACAGGACAGAGCAGAACAGTCCTTTCAGGTTTCCAAGGCTATAAATCTTTAAAGAAGCTGACTGCTAAATCTTTTTCCCACGGAGTGACTAGTGGCTGAACCACTGACTTTTCGGTTTGCAGCTGAGTACTTAACTAACCACTGTGCCACCAGGGCTCCTTCCATTCCCATCAGGTAACCTGAAACGAGAAAGTATTGGATTCCAAGTATACCTGACCAGTACAGGAACAGTTTAAAAATTGTGTGTGCAGCATATCTGTGTGTCCTCATTTGGGAAGAGGAAGACGATATCAAATCAGTTAAACGGAATGAATTTTATACTCACAACTAGACCTCTTACATTTCAAAGTTGGGAATGCAGCCAAGAGGAATCAAAGGTTTTTCTCACGTAGGCACCAGTATATGGATGACTGACTCAAGCCCTTATACTGGGAAGAACTGACCAAGAAAGAATTTCTAGGCTGAAGGTTAAATTACAAAGGACTTGACTGGCCTCAAATCAGGTAACTCTTCAACACAAACTTTCCTTACTGACAGCACTTCATAAACAACACCAAGAAAAAGCTCATCTATTCCCAACTGCTCCTAAACTGCAAGAATATGGTCACTGTCACTTTTCACTTAGATGCCAGAAGCAATGGTGGATGATGGGCTGGATCAACACTTCCCCAACCGTGTAGGACTTGGTTAATTAGTGAGCTTTCCAGCAAAATTATACTAAATTAGATATGTGTTCATGTAAACCAGAGAGGCAGCACTATTGACCCTTAGGGGTCAATAGTGACTAGTGACTTTTTCAAAGGAAATCATGGACCATTTTGCGTCATGGAGGCTGGTGCTCCCTACTACTAATCCCAGGTACAGTTACAATCACAACTTGATAAACAACCATGTGAAGCTTTGACATGACTTCAGTTAAATAAACATGAATGCTTAGGAACAGAATTGTTAATTATCTCAAGTCTAAATAGGGAAAAAGAGAACAAACCTTTCACAGAGATCAGTACTGTGATCAGTACCATAAAGGCATTAAAAACTAATCAAAAGTTTACTTCTACTGAAAATGTAACTATACCAACCTTTGTTGTGGAAAGTAGCTCATCACACAGAACTTTTGTTTGTAATAGGCATAGAGCCCTCAAGTCTGCACTACGGCACCCACAGTACACTTTGACCACTAACAACCTTTGCTGTGGAAAGTAGCTCATCACGCAGAACTTTTCATAATAGGCATACAGCCCTCAAGTCTGCACTATGGCACCCACAGTACACTTGGACCACTAAGCACTGACACCACCAGAAGTCCTTTGTCCTAAAATTCCTTTTTATTCCCCCACACAAATTTAATCTTAATTTGGCAGTGTTTTAAAAGTTTTTAAAGTTTTTATTTTTCTCTTCGCCTGACTATAATCCATCACCCCTACCCTGCTCCTACATTTCAGTTGATTTAAATTCCAAAATAGCTTTAGAAACAGATTCATGTCACATGATAAAACCAAATTTTCATCTTTATGGATATAACTTCAAGTTAGTTAAAGTAACTAACTTAAAATGCCCACTGAACATCTAAGAGTTCAAAACCCAACAGACCCACTTTTAGAAACTTCCTTCACAGATCTCAATTTTTACCATGGCCCTAAGAATAATTCATAAATCTCCTAAGAGCAAACATTATTAACACCTCTGTTAGGTGAAGAAGGAAAAGAAATGAGTTCTACAGCAGTCTCTTTTTCACCAATCCCCAGGATTTTACCATCCTAGCCAATTTTATTACCTTTCCATATGTTTAAGGCCTGTTGTTTGTGAACCAGTCAGTAACACAGGAGAGTTCTGCAGGAATGTAACTCACGAGGGTGTAAAACTTGGTATAGTTAGCACTCTGAACTCAATCAAGTCAACTGAGTCCTACAAGTAATGTTAAGATCCCCATCACAAAAATCTATAAAACTGTGTCTTAGAATATGGTTCTAAGAATGGTATCAGAGAGTCCAATAAACTTGACTAGAGTAAATCTCCCATCGTCCCCTCACATTCACCAGCCTGGGTGGGGGAATAGGAGAGAAATGAAATAACAATCCTCACCTGTAAAAGTTTAAAAGTTTAATGTGAAGTTAAAAAAAAAACGCAAATAGAAAGAAATCCACTTGTTTAATGTTGTACAAAAAAGTCTGAGTAAAACCAAAAGTGAATTAAACATTATCACATTTGTTTACACCACAATCTAGTTATTCTTATTAACTCTACTATTCAAACAATAGAAAGTAGGGAGCGATTTAGGGATCAGGAAAGGGCTAAAATCAAAAACCTGTCCACACATTTATTATTCTACACTGTTGACAGCTGTGCTCACAGAGACGGCTTCTTTTACTTCTCCACTGCGTAGGAATTCAGTTGTATATAAAATTGAACCTGAATTTAAAAAAGAACAATACCCCTTATTAAAAACAATATTATTTACCTAGCTTCCACCTTAAAGAAGGAAATTTATCCAGATGCTTCTACTCTCCCTTTGACATTTTTGGCATTTTCTAAACCAAGACACATTTTTCTTTCACCTATCCCATCTTTTGTGTTAAATACCAGGGAATATTTATAGTAAAGTAAATAAATAGAGTGTGATTGTGATTAATTATCCACTGGCTATCACGCTTGGTAAAGTGGAGGGTCAGTGAAAAAGGGGAAGACCCTTGCCGAGATGGACTGACACAGAGGCTGCAACGATGGGCTCAAACAGAGCTAACACTGAAGGATGGCACAAAGACCAGGCAGTGATTTGCTCTGTTGTACACAGGGTCGCTGTAAGTCGGAACTGACTCCATGGCACCTAGCAACAACAAAGAAGTTCCTTAATGGTAGGAAAAGATTTTTACACATCACTGTATTCTCACTACTCAGCCAAGTTCCCTACACTTGTCAAACCAAACCAAACTCACTGCCGTTGAGTTGGATCCGACTCATAGCGACCCCACCTTGGGTTTCCAAGCCCAATTTTCCTTCCGAGGAGTTGGTGGGTTTGAACCACCAGCCTTCTGGTTAGCAGTCAAATGCCTTAGGCATTGAGCTACCAGAGCTCCTTATACTTGCAAGGGTGGTATTTAAATATAAAGACCATGACTCTTTTTTCATATTTCATACTTCAACTTGTAACCCATCAGCAGCCCAAAGCAGGGGAATAAAGGATGATGTCTGATGACTGACAAAGTAAAAAGATCAATTCATACTCAACAAGCTTTCACAGAATGACAAAATCACTAATCAAACTGTTTTCATCTAGTATTTATTGGGCATTCACCAGGTACGTGGCACTGTTCTAAGGACTTTATATGTGTCATTTCATTTGGTCTTCACGGTCCTAGAAGTGGGCACTCAATTCCATTTTACAGATGAACAGGTAAATAGGTGTAATAATTTTGCCCAAGGTCACACTGCCAACAAGTTCTTGAGATTCAAAGCCAAGCACTGACTGCACAACTTCATCCTTAACCATGTTATTCTATGAGTCCTGTGGTTAGTTCCCAAAACTCAGATCTTAAATCACTCTATCTGCCTGGAAACACGAACTCTATGTTAAAATTCAGCATCTAACTGCACATGGCCTACAGCAGGCCTAAACACAGTAGGTTCCAAAAAGGGAAGATAATGTATTACAACAAGAGAGTCAATTTCCCCATTTTTACAGAAATGACCTTCCCCTCATCCCAGCCCCATTAACACACAGCTGACAACTATTTCACCTTTTTTGGTGAATATGTCAAACTTAATTGTACAGAATATCAGATTTGGGGAAAAGCAATTAAACAAATGCCTGAATGTCATGCTGCAACTTAGGGCCTGGGGGACACTTTTAGTCAGTCATTAAAACCGTCATTTCATCTGTGATTGCACATGACCTAAGGCTCCATCTACTGTCCTAGTCTCTCTCTTTAAAGACTAAAATCCATAAACTATGCTTTCTCAAGTGGCTCGGAATATTTAAAATCTGACATCTTATGTGAATAAACCCCACAACGGGCAGCACTTCATACCTGCTCAAGAGCTGAGGGAGACTAGAAATGATGGGTCCGTACCCAGGTGCGTTGTCATACAACTCAAACAACGGTGCAGCTACCAGTTTGTAGTTCTTTGGGACTGCAAACAAGGCTAAAATAAACAAAACCATATTTTCTGTAATTTTTTCAACTAATCATATCTTCCATTTCTTTTTAAATAAATCACCAATTTTACATTTAAGGAAACTTGTTTCCAGGGGAAAACAATTCTCATTAATATATTTTATGTCTTTTAAGCCAGAGTTCATAGCAATAGCTCTGAAACAAAGTGATCCTCTAAAGAGATTCCTGCTTCTAACAACCCTACGGAGCTCTGGTAGTGCAGTGGTTAAAATACTAAGCTGCTACCCAAGAGGTCTGCAGTTAAACCGACCAGCCAGCCATTCTATGGGAGAAAGATGAGGCGGTCTGCTTCTATAACCCTGGAACACCTATGGGGCAGTTCTATTCTGTCCTATAAGGTCACTAATGTTGTTGCTGTTTTGCCGTCGAGTCGGCCCCGACTCATAGCGACCCCTCCTTGGGTTTCCGAGGCAGTATCACTA